GCTCAAGTTTACAATCTTAACCTTGACACCACATTGCCAAATGGTTATGTTCACTCTGGACCCTCATTTGCTCTCTTAAGAAACGTGGAATGAATCTACTGCTTCTTCCATGCTTTGATGAATGATGCTGAAGAAAGCTCTCATGTCCTTCTTGAATCTTTTCTGGTTAAACATCTCCAGTAGAGCGATAAGAAATCCACTAAAAACTCTAGGTGTGCTTTTTCTGATGATGAAGACAGCAGTTTTCAATGGAGGCAGTTCCACTAGTTAGGGGCCATCTTAGAAATGTTGGGGGGATGTTTTGCTTGTTATGATGATTGTGGGGTGCAACTGGCATAATGTGGGCTTCCCAGGTGGCGCAGTGGTACAAAATCCACTTGCCAAGGCAGGAGACCTGGGTTTGATCTCTAGGTTGGGAAAATCCTCTGGAGGAGGAAATGGCAACTCGCTCCAGTATTCTTGTCTGTTAAATCCCATGGACAGAGGAGCCTGGCGGGCTACAGTCCATGGGGTCGCGAAGAGTCGGACACAACTGAGCACGCACATGCAAGCACTGGCGTATTGTTGGCAGGAGTAGGGCTAGGGCCAGCAAGAAAGGTTGGGATCCCAGTGGGAAAAAAATGAACTGGAGGTGAGTAGATGGGCAAAAAGCCTTTGCACAGGATTTGTGTTGGTGTGTGATACAGCAGGGCCCTATGCTCCCTTCTCCATCACCCACTTGATAACTAGAGTCAACATCCCCTGTCTCACTGGTCCTGGCCAGAGATGCCAGATGTCCTGGGAAGTAAGTGACAGCCTTGTACTTCAAATATCTGGATATTCATTTCACTTATGTAAAATCTTATTTATAATTATCTGAGTCTAGAACACTGTCTTATGTAATCATAGATCAGTTTCTGTAAATTTTTTAAAAAGCTGGGTCCTTTTAGTTTTTAAACAGTATTAACATTATATAAGCTAGTTTTTTTTTTTTTTTTTATGTTGTTAAGTTGCCAAGTTGTGTCCAACTCTTTGAGACCCCATGGACTGCAGCATACCAGGGTTCCTTGTCCTTCAACATCTCCTGGAGTTTAGAATGAATATATGTTAATTTTATTATAATTTAACTGTCATTTTTCCTTTTCCCGTACTAGGTTAGATCAGAGTCTTAGTCCATTTGAGTTGCAATAACAAAATACCAAAGCCTGGATAGTTTATAAACACCAGAAATTTATTTCTTACAGTTCTCGAAGCTTGAAGTCCTAGATCAGGGTGCCAGCATGTTTGGATGAAGGCTCCTTTTCAAGTCACAGGATTCTCCTTGTATCCTCACATGGCAAAAGAGAAGGGCCGAGGCAATCTCTGGAGCCCCTTCTATGTATAAGGCACGAATCTCATCCATGAGGGTTTCACCTTCATGATTTAAGGATCTACCCAAGCCCCCACAGAGTAATACCATCACCTTTGAGGGTGAGGATTTCTACGTATGAATTTGGAGGTGGAGGGGACAAGTATTCAGACTTTGTGAAGTGAGCCCGTTAGTCGCTCAGTTATTTCTGAATTTTTTGTGACTCCATGGACTGTAGCCTGCCAGGCTTCTCTGTCCATGGGATTCTCCAGGCAAGAATACTGGAGTGGGTTGCCATACACTTCTCCAGGGGATTTTCCTGACCCCGGGATCGAACTTGGGTCTCCTGCGCTGCCGGTGGATTCTTTATCATCTGAGTCACCAGGGAAGCCCCAGAGGAGTTAGTAATTTATGTTTTTTAGGTTCAAGAACTAACACATTATATTCTCTATAAATTTACTTTCATATATCAAAAAGGAGTTTATATAATATTTACTCTAATGTAAAACAAAGTATAATAATGTATGTGTTAGTTTCCTATCGTTGCTTTTTAATAAATTACTTAGTGGTTTAAAATAACATAAATTTATTATATTAGAGTTCAGTTGTCAGAAGCCAGAAATGGAGGGTTCACTGGGTTTAAATCAAAGTGTCAGCAGTGCCATGCTCCCCCTGGGTGCTCTTGTAGGAGCAGCCATACCTCTGCCTTTTCCAGTTTCTAGAGGGCATCTGCATTTCACCTTGCTCCTTCCTCCTACTTCAAAGCCAACCATGTAGCATCTTCAAATGTCTCTCTGAGTCTGACCTTCTTGCTTCTATTGTTACATCTCCACCTGACATTGACCACCTCCCTAACTCCCTCTTATGAGGATTCTTATGATTTCATTGGGCCAACTGGACAATGCAGGGATAACCTCCCTCTCTCAAGAGGTTTAATTTAATCACACTTGCAAAGTCCCTTTTGTCATGTAAGATAATATATTCACAGGGCTGTGGAGTAGGACCTGAGTATCTTTGGGGAACCATTTTTCTGTCTATCATATTTTAAAATTTATTTATTTATTTATTTATTTAGGCTGCCCTGGGTCTTTGTCGGTTTGTGTAGGCTTTCTCTAGTTGTGGCGTGCTGGCTTCTCATTGCGGTGGTTTCTCTTGTCGCAGGGCACAGGCCAAAGGCATGTCTGTTTCAGTAGTTGCAGCTCTCGGGCTCATTAGTTGTAGCATACGGGTTTAGTTGCTCCATGGCATGTGGAATATTCCCGAACCAGGGACTGAACTCATGTCCCCTGCCTTCTCATCCACTGCACTGCCCTCTACCATGTTTTAATAATATAATATATTAAATAATATAATATAATATATATTAAATAATATAATCTTGTTGTTCTGAGAAGGTTGAGACTCACCGTTGAAACTCAAGCACCAGGCTTGATGCTCCTTGATGTCTTTCTTGACCTTGGGTTGGGCTGAACCATGTGTCTAGAGAAGAATGAGGTCATCTCTACCAGGCAGAGCTGCTGGCTCCCAAGGGTAGACCCTAGCTGTTGCCAGGCAACGTGGGTGCAGACATTCATTTCAGACTAACCTGAAGAACTCCTATTTAATCATTTATTTTCCCCCAAGAGCATGTGATGTTTACTTTTGGTGGCACCCAATTTTAAATGTCTTAATGTGCTTTGCCCTTTGGGCTAGATCAGAGTTTGCTGAATTATTCTCTAGTTCCAGGCATTATGCTTTATGACCTAAAGACTAGGATACATGGCGAGGGCTACCCAGGTGGTGCTAGCCACCCGCCGATGCAAGAGACACAAGAGAATTGGGTTCGATCCCTGTGTCAGGAAGATCCCCCGGAGGAGGGCCTGGCAACCCACTCCGTATCCTTGCCTGGAGAATCCCAGGGACAGAGGAGCCTAGCGAGCTACCATCCATGGAGTCGCAAAGAGTCAGACATTACTGAAGTGACGTAGCATGCATGCAAGGTCTGACAGACGATTCTCCAGCTGCTTCCAAGAGCAAAGAAGCGTCAGGAGATAGAATTAGGTTGAAGACACATTAGAATTTCGAATGTATCTTGATGGTTTTGGGGAAGAAACTGGACAGAATAAATAAAATAAATTTGCTATCATTTAGTAAGTTCTCTATGGACACAGCCAAGTGCTGTGCCATGTCCATTGTACCTATTATCTCATTTACCAGTGAGATAGAAATTATCACCCTTGTTTTACAGGTACTATCTCAAAGTTGTCCCGCTAAGTTGCTTCAGTCACGTCCAATTCTTTGCGATCCTATGGACTGTAGGCTGCCAGGCTCTTCTGTCCATGGGATTCTCTAGGCAAGAATACTGGAGTGGGTTGCCATTCCCTTCTCCAGGGGATCTTCCCCACCCAGGGATCGAACCTGGGTCTCTTATTTCCCCTGCATTGGCAGGCAAGTGCCACCTGGGAAGCCCACGGTCCTAGAAGGCTCAAAATTCAAATGCAGACCTGTCTAACCCAGAAGCCAGTGCTTGTAAACTAGTACACTTACAGAAACCCAGAGCACAGAAATCTGTAAATAGATGCATCCCAGGAATGAAAAATATTACCTGGAAGATAAACCATAGTTCCAGATCTGCAAGTGTCTCTCTTTTCAACCTCAGTGAGAGCTGTCTGGTGATCAAGATGAGCAGCATCCAGTTCAATAGCTGGGATTTTAGACTAATCCTTCCAATGTCCTCATTCCTAGGAAGGAAGGTATTGGTACTTTTCTGGTAGCAGACATAATGTTTAAGGGAGATTTGACAGAATGATAATAGACATGAGGGCTTTCACTTCAAAGCCGGCCTCCTTTCATAACACATCCTAGGGTCCAACATACCTACATTCATCAGAGAATGCTCAGACCTCCATGACCTGGGTGGGGCACTGTGGGAGAGCCATGGAATATTAGAGAAGAGGGAGGCCCTTTGGAGCCTAGAGAGTACTTAGTCGCTCAGTCATGTCCGACTCTTTGCGACCCCGTGGACTGTAACCCGCTGGGCTCCTCTGTCCATGGGATTCTCCAGGCAAGAATACTGGAATGGGTTGCCATTCCCTACTCCATGGGATCTTCCCGAGCCAGGGATTGAACCCGACCCTCCTGAACTGTAGGCAAATTCTTTACTGTCTGAGCCACAAGGGAGAAGAGAGGTTATATATATGGCAAAGGGTCAATTTAGCATCTGTTACTTTCTGCCTGTAGTCTACCCATGGAGGAAACAAGGGGCCCCTCTCACTTGAGGAAGTCCAAGCCTGACAGCTGAAGGGTCCCAGAGCAGCAAGCATCACCTCGCCTCTTCTCTTGGACCACTTCAGCTGTCTCTGCTTTGGATTGACAGAGGCATCTGGTTGCTAAAAATACCCTACTGACCAAGTGCTGCCCATTCCAACTAAAGCTGAGCATGACTGCAATCCAGGACTTAACTACTCCTTGCAAAGGAACTTTTCCAAAGTTTTCAGGCCCAATTTGAGAAGCACACCAGACCATGGTCTTTTTCTACTTTGTCAGCTTGGCTGGGCAGTGGCAGGGATCCTTCCCAGATCAGTGTCCTCTGGCCTGCCCCATCCCGGTCACAGGAAAAGAAGCAGAAGGGGGAGTGAGAGAGGGCCCAGGGACTGGAGGGGGTAGGGAAGGGGAGGTGCTTGTCCATTTATAGACTTGCTCTTTGGGATGCTGAAGGTGCTGAAATAGCTGCGAGGACAAGGGACTTGGCTCAGTGTTAAATATCTGCCGAGCTGCCTGAAGACTCTGAGATGACAATAGGGGAAATGGAGAATGTGGAGGTCTTCACTGCTGAGGGCAAAGGCAGAGGTCTAAAGGCTACGAAGGAGTTCTGTGCTGCCGACATCATCTTTGCGGAGCGGGCTTATTCCGCTGTGGTTTTTGACAGGTATGGAATTGGGTTGTTGCCTTCTTTCCTCCTGGTGATTTGGCCAGTGCCACACTCTCTAATACTTTGCTCTCAAGATTGAGGGAGAGTAGCACTGACATATATACACTACTGTGTGTAAAACAGGTGGTTAGTGGGAAGCTGCTATATAACACAGGGAGCTCAGCCTGGTGCTCTGTGATGGCCTGGAGGGGTGGCATAGGGCTGGGGTGGGAGGGAGACTCAAGAGGGAGAAGGTATATGTATACATGTAGCTGATTCCCATTGTTATACAGCAGAAGCTAACACAACGTTGTAAAGCAATTATCCTCCAATTAATAAAATGAAAAAATAATCATGGGAAGGGATGCAATTCATGTGGCTGTTGATAATGAAGGGTACATGCACAGCTAACTGTTTGCTGGCATTACTTTTTCTGCAAAGGGTCACTGTCAGTGGGATTTACTCTGGTGCCTAGGAGGGTTACAAAGGTGATTGAAGGCTTGAGGGCATGCTCTCAGAACACTGGGCTTCCCTGATGACTCAGATGGTAGAGAATCTGCCTGTAATGCAGGAGACCTGGGTTCAATCCTTGGGTGGGGAGGATCAGTTGGAGAAGGAAATGGTTATCCACTCCAGTTTTCTTCCCTGGAGAATCCCATGGACAGAGGAACCTCGCGGGCTACAGTCCATGGGGTCGCAAAGAGTTGGACATTACTGAGTGACTAAGCACAACACAAGCACTCAGAACATAAGTGAACTTGGCCAAGTGGGAGTGCTGTGTGTGGAAATGGTAGAGGGAAAGGGAGTGAAAAGGGGGTGTGGTGTCTAGGAGACAGTCTTCTATGGAAGGCTCCATGTTGTTTTGCTTCTGAGGTGTAATAAATATATTAGAGGATTAAGTAATTGCTGAGACTTTAAAAAGTAATTGCAAACACACAGGTAACACCGGAATCCATTTACCTTTGAAAATTAAAATATCACCAATGAACTGTAATCCTGTTTCACCTTTCCCCCTTTCCCACCCCAGGCCCCAGTCCCCTCTGTTTTTCTTCAGAGGTAATCCTTGTTTTGATTTTAATGTGTTTCTTTCTAGAATGTTCTTGTACTATTATATCTCTCTACCTACATACATATATATATACTTAACAAAATGCATAGCTGTAGTTTGTTTTTTCTTTTTAACAGAAACGGTACTTTTTTTTTTTCCTGGCCACACTGTGTGGCTTGGGGGAATCTCAGTTCCCTGACCTGGGATTGAACCTGGGACATGGCAGTGAAAGTACAGAATCCTAATCACTAGGTCACTAGGAAACTCCCAATAATATCACACTTTTGATGTTATCCTTGAACTTGCTCCTTTCACTAAACAACATGGTTTGATATTTATCCTCATGGGAACTGTTAAGTCTATAGCCACTTCTTTTAAATCCTCAAAGATCTGTGAGGTTTTTTTTTCTTTTTTTTTTTTTGCCCACATATAAGTCTATCCATGTTGGTCCATATGCTATATGGACCGCCAATTTTAACTGCTGTGGGTATTTTACCATATGAACATATGAACTTTTGAAAATCTATTGCCCTGTTGAGAGACATTTGGTGGTTTCCAATTTTTCATAAAAGCAAATATTTCTGTGATTGAAATCCTTGACCGTGTCCACTTGCATACATGTGTGATTATTTGCTAGGCTAACTGGCTAGGAGAGAAATCACTGTGTGTTGGGGTGCGCTGTTTTCCATTTTAATAGGCCCTCCAAAGCGAATCTATTAAATTTATATTCCCATTTCCCCTACAGTCCTGTCCATACTTGACCACCACACTTTTGCATGCATGCGTGCTCAGTTGCTTTAGTTGTGTCCGACTCTTTGCGACCCATGGTCTGTAGCCCATCAGGCTCCTCTGTCCATGGGATTCTCCAGGCAAGGATACTGGAGTGGGTTGCCATACACTCCTACAGCGGATCTTCCCGAACCAGTAGTGATAATCTTTATTTTTAAAAAACCCTCTACTGTGATAACATTATGACAATATTCTCTGAGTCCCCAAATTGGGATGACCTGACTGACATTGATGTGGTCTCAATTAAGATGGCCTCTGATAACCTAGATTTCTTGGTTGACTCACTGTATGACCATCCTGAGAATAGGCACAACTTTTCAGAGATAATTTAAGTAGCATTCAAATTCTCATTTCTTCCTGCCCACCAAGACCTTCAGGGAAAAGGCTGTGAATGGTGTATGTGGCTAGCTATAGCTGAGGAATTTAGAGAGGCTGAGATGACAGTAATACTTCTTCAGGGGGAGTGTGTCTTACTTTATTTACTTGTGTGAGTGTGTTGGGGGCAGTTGAGGAATCAACTGGTTTTAGAAATTAAGACAGAAAAAGACAGAAAAAGCTAGAAACACAGGAACTCTGAACAATAATCTTAGTACTACCACTGAGTTGCCATCTTGCCTTTTATAGAACATCCGTGGGTGTCTTCAACTCCCTAAAAACCAATATTGCCAATCAGTTTCCCTTTCAAGAGTGTCCAAAGTTGAGTGGATTTTGCTTCCGTTACAAGAGCAAAACTCAGAAAGAAGAAAATGTATCTTCACATGAAGCTAACATTGACATGGTTGTCTATTTCCTTCCAGCTTATTTTAAAATGTTGTTGTTTAGTCACTAATTCGTGTCTGACTCTTTGTGACCCCACAGACTCCTCTATCCATGGGATACTAGAATGTGTTGCCATTCCCTTCTCCAAGGGATCCTCCCAAGCCAAGGATTGAACCTGAGTCTCCTGCATTGGCAGGTGGATTCTTTACTACTGAGCCACCAGGGAAACCCATTTTAAAACATAGGTTCCATTTATTAGTACTATTAATTGGGATCTTATCTAAACTTCGAGCATGCCCAGTCATGTCTGACTCTTTGGGACCCCATGGACAGTAGCCCACGAGGCTACTGTCTGCAGAATCTTCTAGACAAGAATACTGGAATGAGGTGCCATTTCTAACTCCAGGAGATCTTCCTGGCCCAAAGCGATTGAACCTCCCCTTCTTGTGTCTCTTGTGCTGGCAGGCAGATTTTTTTTACCACTTCCTGACCTGGAAGATTTTCATTTAATGATTTAGGTATCTTCTGTGTTACTATACTCTCTTTGTAGAGTTTAAGACTGCATACTTTCTGACCATTCCTTTATAACTGGACATTCAGATTGTTTACATGTTTTTCTTATTATAAAAAATTAATTCATTTTAAGCAATAACTATATAAAAACAACTTTAGTGCATGTTGCAGATAAAATGCTAATAAAATCTTATTGTTATAATAGTAATAAAGATTAGGATGATTAGAGTAAATGATCTTTAAAATGATTAAAAATAAAAAGGATTATTTTTAAAAGTGATTTACCCAGTACACCTGAAACTAATACAACATTTCAAGTCAACTATATTTCAATAAAAAAGAAAGAAATATAGAAATTGAAATGACTGCTTTATAGTTAAAAAATAAGTGATATAATCAAACTCATCATTGCAAAGATGAGGGAACTGCTTGGGTGTACCTGAGACAGCCTGGAGAAGCTTCAGAGGAAAGCTTTGCTCATCCTATCCTCACTCCAATTTTAGGCTCCTGGTGAGATTCAGCCACTGTAAGGGAGAAACCTGACTGGGGAGGTAGGAACAGGTGACCCACGAAAGTCACCTTATGAAAGAAGCATTTTCTAACACTGTTACTGCAAACCAGGCTATCTGTATTAACTTCCAAACACAAAAATGAAGATTTTATCTTTAGTTGAGTAGTGCATTAAATGAAAATCTCTTCTTGCAAACAATACATGAAATATATATGTATGTATATGTATATATTCTGTGAATCATTACAGGGCTTTCCAGGTAAAGAATCTGCCTGCTGATGCAGGAGACGCAACAGACGAGGGTTTGATCCCTGCATCGGGAAGATTCCCTGGAGTAGGAAATGGCAACCCATTCCAGTTTTCTTGCTTAGAAAATTCTATGGACAGAGGAGTCTGGCCAACTAAAGTCCATGGGATTGTAAAGAGTCAGACATGACTGAGTGACTGAGTACACACACGAACATACATGAAGCATTACAATAAATGAACCCCTGTGAAAATACCATCCTACTTAACTAGAACATTTTATTACATTCATCTTGCCTATCTTTCCCTATCCTGTCCCATACTTGCCCCAAAGGTAACTACAGTAGTATCCTGAATTTCATGTTACTTATTCCCCTGTGTTTTCTTTTTTTTTTTTTTTTTTTAATTTTTATTAGTTGGAGGCTAATTACTTTACATCATTACAGTAGTTTTTGTTATACATTGATATGAATTAGCCATGGATTCACATGTATTCCCCATCCCAGTCCCCCCTCCCACCTCCCTCTCCACCCGATCCCTCTGGGTCTTCCCAGTGCGCCAGGCCCGAGCACTTGTCTCATGTACCCAACCTGAGCTGGTTATCCGTTTCACCCTAGATAATACACATGTTTCAATGCTGTTCTCCTGAAACATCCCACCCTCGCCTTCTCCCAGAGTCCACAAGTCTGTTCCATACATCTGAGTCTCTTTTTCTGTTTTGCATATAGGGTTATCGTTACCATCTTTCTAAAGTCCATATATATGTGTTAGTATACTGTAATGGTCTTTATCTTTCTGGCTTACTTCGCTCTGTATAATGAGCTCCAGTTTCATCCATCTCATTAGAAGTGATTCAAATGAATTCTTTTTAATGGCTGAGTAATATTCCATGGTGTATATGTACCACAGCTTCCTCATCCATTCGTCTGCTGATGGGCATCTGGGTTGCTTCCATGTCCTGGCTATTATAAACAGTGCTGCGATGAACATTGGGGTGCATGTGGCTCTTTCAGATCTGGTTTCCTTGGTGTGTATGCCCAGAATCCCCTGTGTTTTCAATGATAGTTTTGTCATATATGTACATATTCCTAAACAATATATAATTTAGTTTTTATAGCTTGTTTTTCAACTTTTAAACCAAGGTATACAGTT